TACCGTACACTTCTCTCTGTTGAAATTTGTTAAGTTTTGGCCAATCAGCTCTTCAATCTGTTAGGGTCAATCTGGATTCTGATCCTGTCCTCTGGAGTATTAGCTATCTCACCCAGTTTGGTGTCATCTGCAAATTTGATAAGCATGCATTCTGTTCCATTGCCCAAGTCATTGAGAAAGATGTTGAATAGAACTGAGCCCAGGACATAACCTTCTTGATGGCACCCAGTAGTAACTTCTTTCCAGGATGAAGGGCAACCATTAGTGAGCACCCTTTGGGTTCGGTCACTTAACCAATGACAGATCCAGCTAATTGCAGCATTGCCTGGCCTACATTTGACTAGTTTGCTTGCAAGAAGGTAATGGGGGACTTTGTCAAAGGTCTTACTGAAATCAAGTTCTGCTCCATCCACAGCATTCCCTGCATCTACCAAGCTTGTAACACAATCCAAAAACGTGATGATTAGTCTGGCATGACGTGTTTTTGAGAAACCCATGTTGACTTTTAGTAATCACAGCACTCCTTTCTAAGGTCTGTGGGCTTTTGATAAAGTCTTGTGCTTCTTTTTCTGCATCATCACTGATGCTGGAGAGCGCTTTGAATAGATTCTATAGCTCTTAACTTTCAGAATGATTCCTGGTCCTTCTACTCCTAAGTGTCACTTTCCTCCAAGCGTCCACCTCTTGCATTTGAGAAGTGACCTCCTTCTCAGAGAGATCCTCTGAGTGACCCTCCTGCCCTGCTGAGTCCAAGGCAACCTCTTCCTCTTTATTATGTTGGAAATAGGAGCCCCCGGTGGCACAGTGGGTTAAACCCCTGTGCCGGCAGGACTGAAGACCGACAGGTCGCAGGTTCAAATCCGGGGAGAGGCAGATGAGCTCCCTCTATCAGCTCTAGCTCCTCATCCAGGGAGATGAGAGAAGCCACCCACAAGGATGATAAAACATCAAATCATCTGGGCGTCCCCTGGGCAATGTCCTTGCAGACGGCCAATTATCTCACACCAGAAGCGACTTGCAGTTTCTCAGGTCGCTCCTGACACGACAAATAAATAAATAAATAAATGTTGGAAATGTAGATGCTGAGCCCTCTCTTCCAAGACAGCTACTAACTTGCACTTGCTGCAAGTATTGCTATCAACATTCTTAGGAAAGAACAAAAACATTCCACAGTTGCGGCAGAGGAACTGCATGAGCTCCCTCCCTATCCACTGTTAGCAGTCCTAATCAGAGAATGAGGACCCTTCTACATTCAGATTATTAAAGTAGATAGCCAACATTATCTGCTTTGAACTGGCTTATGATCACTGCCATCTAACAACAACAACAACTTTGTTCTTATCTCCCGCCACCATCTCCATGAAGGGACTCGGAGCGGCTTACAAATGGCACAAAGTGCCTAAACACAAACATAAAAGTGAACACAATATAAAATAAGGTAATGGTAAAGGTCTAGTTGAGTCCGACTCTAGAGAGTGGTGTTCATCTCCATTTCTAGGCAAAGAACGGCATTGTCCGTAGACACCTCCAAGGTCATGTGGCCAGCATGATTGCATGGAGTGCCATTACCTTCCCACTGGAGTGGTACCTATTGATCTACTCACATTTGCATGTTTTCAAACTGCTAGGTTGGCAGAAGCTGGGGCTAACAGTGGGAGCTCACCTGGCTCCCTAGATTCGAACTGCCAACCTTTCAGTCAACAAGTTCAGCAGCTGTGCATATAAAAACATCAATTCAGATCCAATCAAGCTGCGATCCTCTAACCGTGGTGGTAAATTATTGTAACCATGGCTGGGCTGTAAACATTAGGAATAAAATAAGTGCCAGTTGCAGTAATGGAGACAGGGCATGGGATAAAGTGCAGGATGTGTGACTACTACACAGGACAACTAGGGGCTTAATATTCTCAAACGTTTGCTTGAAGAGCCACTTCCTCAAGTCCCTTTGAAAGGAGGACAGTGTGGAGGTCTGCCTAATGCCCTTGGGGAGGGAGTTCCAAAGTCGTGGGGCCACCACCGAGAAGGCCCTCTCCCTTGTCCCCACCAGCCGCTCCTGTGACAGTGGCAGGAACAAGAGAAAGGCATCCCTGGTAGGTCTTAAAAGCCCACGCCAGTTCATAGGAAGGGGATGCGATCACAAAGATAGGCAGAACCCGAGCTTTTTAGGGCTTTATAGGTGATAACTAGCACTTATTGGCAGCCAATGGAGCTGCTTTAGTAGGAGCACCATGTGCTCCTTATAGCTGGCTCCGGTTAGTAGCCTGGCTGCTGATCTTTGGACCAATTACAGTTTCTGAGCCATCTTCAAAGGCAGACCCACATAGAGTGCATTACAGTAATCTGATCTTGATGTAACTAAGGCATGGACCACCGTGGCCAAGTCTGGCTTCTTGAGGTATGGTTGCAGTTGGTGCACAAGCTTTAACTGTGCGAATACCCTCCCGGCCACCACTGACATCTGAGCTTCAAGAGTCAAAGCTGAGTCCAGGAGGACCCCCAGACTGCGGATCTGTGTCCTCAGGGAGAGTGGGACCCCGTCCAGTACAGGTTGCCACCCTAGACCACGATCAGGCTTGCAACTGACCAGGAGGACCTCTGAATTTATTGGATCATACGTTGGACACTTCCCAAGTGTCTAGGACTGTTGTTGTTGTTGTTGTTGTTATTATTATTATTATTATGTCACAGCAAATGAAATCTATATGCTGGATTTCGTATCACAAAACCACAAGTTGAACACTTCCCAAGCATCTAGGACTGTATGATTTATTATTATTATTATTATTATTATTATTATTATTATTATTATTATTATTATTAAAATCACAACAAGATGAGTCCACAGCAGACATTCTGCTGGCTGTTGAATTGGATCACACATCGGACACTTCCCAAGTGTCTAGGACTATTATTATTATTATTATTATTATTATTATTATTATTATTATTGACACAAAAGCACAGTATGTCACAGCAAACAAGATAAATATGCTGGATTTCATATCACAAAAATCACAAGTCGAACACTTCCCAAGCATCTAGGACTGTGTGATGTATTTTCGAATAATGCGAGCAGATCCAAGTAAGGTGGCCTTTTGCAGTTGACAGATCGTGATTTTGTCAATGTTTATTGTTCCCAAATTCCGGCTGAGATCTTTTGCCACGGCATCCAGTGCGCCAATGACCATTGGGACCACCTGTACTGGTTTATGCCAGAGCCTTTGCAGTTCGATTTTGAGGTCCTGATAACAGCTGAGTTTTTCCTGTTGTGCGACTGTCACCCGGTATGGCGACATCAATAATCCAAACTTTTTTGTTTTCCACAATCGTGATGTCTGGTGTATTGTATTCCAAAACTTTTGTCGGTCTGGATTCGAAAGTCCCGCCGTATATTAATAATAATAATAATAATAATAATAATAATAATAATAAATTATTTATTATTAGTAGTAGTATATTATTATTATTTGAAACACAGCAAGATGAGTCCACAGCAAATACTCTGCTGCCTGATGTATTGGATCACACGTCGGACACTTCCCAAGTATATTATTATTATTATTATTATTATTATTATTATTATTATTATTATTATGTCTTGTCTGGGTTAAGCTTCAGCTTGTTAGCCCTCACCCAGTCCATCACAGCAGCCAAGCACTGGTCCAGGATCCGGGAGGCTTCCTTGGAACTTGGTGGAAAAGAGTAATAGAGTTGTGTGTCATCTGCATACAGATATAATCCTGTTCAAAGCAAATAATCTGGATTTTATATGGCACTGTCTCATGACCTGGGACAGAAATCTGGGGCTGGATCTAAACTGCCCTATATCCCAGGTTTTGATCCCAGATTATTTGAACTGGATTATATGAGTCTGCATTGTCAGATAATCTGGGATAAGAAGATAACCTGGGATCAGATCCTGGGATATAGAGCAGTGTAGATCCAGTCTGAGGCCCCTTCAAATCCACATTGAACTGGGTTATATAGAAAGGTGGACTCAGAAAACCCAGTTCAAAGCAGATATTGTGGGTGACCTGCCTTTTGTTGTTGTTGTGACAGGAGTGACTTGAGAAACTACAAGTCGCTTCTGTTGTGAGAGAATTGGCCGTCTGCAAGGACATTGCCTAGGGGATGCCCTGATGTTTTGATGTTTTATCATCTCTGTGGGAGGCTTCTCTCACGTCCCTGCATGAGGAGCTGGAGCTGATAGAGGGAGCTCTTCCGTGCTCTCCCCGGATTCGAACTTGCGACCTGTCGGTTTTCAGTCCTGGCGGAACAGGGGTTTAACCCACTACGCCACTTGATATTCTGGGTTACATGGCTGAGTGAAAGGGCCCTTAATCTCCTGCTCAAAACTCCCCCAGCAAAACACCCACTTGCTTTACCGATATGCTTCACACTGTAGAATTAATGCAGTCTGGTGTCAGTTTGGATTGCCAGAGCTCAATGTTCTGGAAGCTGTCCTTTGGCGAGGCACCCGCACTCTTTGGCAGACAATGTCTTGAAAAGCGACACCTCCGGGCCCTTCCACACTGCCATATGATGCAGAATATCAAGGCAGACAATGCACATGATTATCTGAGTCTACACTGGCAGATAACCCACTTCAAAGCAAACAATGTGGATTTTGTAGAGCTGTGTAGAAGGGGCCTCTGAGGGCTCCAGAGCATTGCCTGGTGACAGTTCAATTGGGGTCCAATGGCATTCATTCCACAGCAACTCTCACAATTCCCAACAGCCATAGGAGTTGGGAGTCCAAAACACCTGGAGTAGAGCCGAAGTTGGCCAATGCCTGTTCTACAGCCTAGAGATGCTCCTAAAGTGAGGAAGTCGGAAAACACCTGGGAAGCAGAGGCTCTTAAAGTGGGAAAAGTGCAGAGAGGAGAAGTGGTAGGAGCCCGGCGGGGGGGGGGGGGGTCTCGCGCTGAGCAAGGAAGAAAGGAAGGGGAGAGTGCGCCCCCCTCCCTCCCTCCCTCCCCCCTCCCCGTGACGTCACTCACCTGCCTGTCCGGGCTCCGGGGCGCAGCAGAGGAGGGCGGCACAGCAGAGCAGGACCCAGGGCCGGATTGGGACCATGGCTGCGCTCCCTCCTCGTCCGGGGAAGAAGAAGCGGAATCGGAGCGGAATCCGGGAGGGAGGGAGGGAGGGAGGGAGGGCGGGGCCGGCAGGTACCTGGGTCCTTCCTTCCCTGAGGGGGGGCGTGACTTCTTCTCCTCCCTCTCCTCCTCCTCCTCCCTCTCCTTTTACTTCTCCTCCTTTCCCCTCTCCTTCTCCTTCTTCCTCTTCTTTTCTTTCACCTTCCTCTTCTCCTTCCTCTCCTCCTCCTCTCACCTCTTTTGTCTTATCCTCCGCTTTCTGATTTACCTCTTCTTCTTCCCCTTCCCTTCCACCTTGCTCTCCTCTTTCTCCTCCTTCTCTTCTACCTCTTCTACTTCTTCCTCTTCTTTTCTTTCATCTTCCGATTCTCCTTTCCCTCCTCTAACTTCTTCTCCTTCCTCTCCTCTTCTCTTGGCACAGCAATCCTCCTCTTTCTATTTTACCTCTTCTTCCTCTTTTTTTTCCCTTCCTTCTCCTTCCTCTCCTCTCCTCCTCCTTCCTTTCTCCTCTTCTTTCCTTCTCCTTCCCCTCTCCTCCTCTTTCCTTCTCTCCTCTTTCCTCCTTCTTCTTCTTCTTCCCCTCCTTCTCCTTCTCCTCTTCCTCCTCCTTCTCTTCTACCTCTTCTTTCCCTTCTCTTTCCTCTTTCTCCTTCCTCTTCTTCTTTCCTTCTCCTCCTCTTTCTTCTTCTCTTCTTCCTCCTCTAACTTCTCCTCCTCCTCCTTTCCCCTCCTTCTCCTTCGTTCTCCTTCTCCTCTTCTTTCTCTGTTTATTCTACCCCTTCTCCTTCTTCCTCTTCTTTTCCTTCTCCTTCCTCTTTCTCCTTTTCCTCCTTCTCTTTCTTCTCTAACTTCTTTTCCTTCTTCTTCCTCTCCTCCTCTCACCTCCTTCTCCTCTTCTTTCTCCTCCTGCTCTGTCTATTCTGCCTCTGTCTTTTCTGCCTCTTCTCCTTCTACCTCTTCTTCCCTCCTTCCTCCCTCTTTCTCCTCCTCCCTTCTCCCTTTCTCCTCCTTCTTCTTTTCTTTCTCCTCCTCTTCTTCCTTCTTCTCCTTTCTTCTTCTTTTTTCCTCTCCTCCTCCTTTCTCTCTCCTTCTCTCTTCTTCCCCTCCTCCTTTCTCTTCTCCTTCTACCCCTTCTCCCCTCCTCCCTGCTCTCCTCCTCTTTCTCCTCCTCCTCTTCTACCTTTTCTCCCTCTTCTTCTCCTTCCTCTGCTCTTTCTCCTCCTTCTCCTCTCTCCTCTTCTTCTTGTACCTCTTCTTCTCCTCTTTTCTTCTTTCTCCGCGGCACTTGTCTTTGGCCCAATGGAGCCTGAGGCCCCCCCCCCCCCCCGGAATCCGATCCCTGCCTCCTAATTCCTCCTGGGTTTCTCACGCTAAGCGGTCTCGGCCCGGGTTGGTCCTTGGGTGGGACACCGACAAGGAGCAGGCTCCTTTTTCAGAGAAAGGGACCGGCCTCGCCTCGCCATCATGGGCCATGCTATTCGACGCGAGGCTTCCTCGGCTCTCCGTTGGAGGCTCTGGACTCCAACGCCCATCATCCACTGGTCCGTGGCTGATGGGAGCTGGGATTCAACCCGGTCTAGTGACAAAGAAAAAGGCTTGTCTCGGAGGAGCCTCCCTTTTGGAGGACTTGGGGGGACTTGCTACACTGCCTTGGCTTTCCTTGCAAAAGTAGTTTTAAGAGGAACAGCGCCCCCTTGTGTCCGGAAAGGGATACTGAGGAGTGCACTTGACATGTGTAAGCAAGCAAAATATGTGTATGGTGGCTTGTTTCTACAGGAGGCATGGGCCAACTTGGGCCCTCCTCGAGGTGTTTTGGACTCCAACTCCCACCATTCCTAACAGCTTCAGGCTCCTTCCTGAGGAAAGGAAAGCCTGAAGCTGTTAGGAATGGTTGGAGTTGGAGTCCAAAACACCTGGAGGAGAGCCCAAGTTGGCCGGTGGAAGCTCCTTCCTTGGGAATTTCTAAAGAGAGGCAGGATGCCATTTGTCGGGGATGCTTTGGTTGTGCTTTTTCTGCATGGCAAGGGGTTGGACTAGATGGCCCATGTGGCCTCTATTATTCTACAACTCTACTAGCTTTCCCCCGCCATGCGTTGCTGTGGCCCAGTCTCATGAGCTGCAAAATAAAGTAATGCGCAAATGTTGGCTTCTAATATATGTAATGTCTTGATGCTTATGGGTTAAAAGTATTTCGTGCTGTTTCTTTGTCAGTGTTGATGTGGAGATTGTCTGGTTTGCCTACTCTGGAACATGCAACATTGCTCTTCTTTAGGGGTCCATTTCAAATCTATGATACTATATCTGTGTGTGAATCATATATATCTACCTATATCTATGGCTGGATGGCTCTTTGTCAAGAGGGCTTTGATTACATTTTCTTGCCCTGGTGAAGGGAGTTGGACTGGATAGCCTTAAGTATTTTCGGTTGGTCATGGGGGTTCTGTGTAGGAAGTTTGCCCTAATTCTGTCATTGGTGGAGTTCAGAATGCTCTTTGATTGTAGGTGAACTATAAATCCCAGCAACTACAACTCCCAAATGTCAAGGTCTATTCCCCCCAAACACCACCTGTGTTCATATTTGGGCATATGGAGTATTCGTGCCAAGTTTGGTCCAGATCCATCATTGTTTGAGTCCACAGTGCTCTCTGGATGTAGGTGAACTACAACTCCCAAACTCAAGGTCAATGCCCACCAAACCCTTCCAGTATTCTCTGTTTGCCATTGGAGTTCTGTGTGCCAAGATTGGTTCAATTCCATCATTGGTGGAGTTCAGAATGCTCTTTGATTGTAGGTGAACTATAAATCCCAGCAACTACAACTCCCAAATGACAAAATCAATTTTTTGAGTGATGGTCACTCCTTGGGTTAGTAGGTGTCTTGTGGCCAAATTTGGTGGCAATTCATCCAGTGGTTTTTGAGTTATGTTAATCCCACAAACAAACATTACATACACACACACACACAAGCTGTACCCGGCCACACGTTGTTGTGGCCCTCAGAAAACAGAGGATTTGCAGAGATGGAGCAATCTGGGCTAGGGAACTCCTCCCGCCAAAGGTTTCCTGCTGGCTAGTAGGAGCCAGGCTGTTAAGGTGCAAGGTAGTATGGAAAATAAAGTAATGAGAAGCAGCCACTGAAGCTGCAAGGCTTTTCAGTTATATTCATGCTGGCCAAAACACTCAAAAAAGCCTCTTTGAAACAGAGGCTGAGTGGCCATCTGTCGGGGTGCTTTGAATGTGATTTTCCTGCTTCGTCACAGAATGGGGTTGGCCTGGATGGCCCACCAGGTCTCTCCCAACTTTAGGGCTCTCTGATTCTATATTCTTCTCTTCCCTTCACCATTTCCCATCTTCTTTCTTTCTTTCTTTCTTTCTTTCTTCTTCTTCCCTTCCTTTCCTCTCCCATCCCTGCCTCCTTTCCCTTCCTTCCTCTTTCTTTCCTTCTACCTTTCCTTCCATTCATAATCTTCTCTTCTCTTCACCAATCCTTTTCTTCATTTCTTCTCTCCTTTCCCTTTCTTTCCTCCTTCCTCCGGGACAGTTTGTAAGGGGTTTTCAAGGGTTTTTTTTTGGGGGGGGGGGGGAGCCCAAGTGGGGGAGTTGCTGGCCTTCTCATGTTTCGCATCCTCCCTTCACACAACTGGGGGTGGTGGTGGTGGTGTGCAGCCGCTCCTGCAGTCAGGCTTGCCTTGCAATCCTCTGGTCTTGGGGGAAGAGTTGCCTGGTAGCCACGTGGGCCTCATGGAGCCACTGCGGTGGCTCCAGCTGCTGCCGGGGCTTGCCTCGCCAAGCCCCCACCCCTCCATTGGGCCAGGCCTTCTCCTTCCTTCCCTCTTTCCTTTCCTCAATCCCTCCCCTCCCCAAAAGAAAAAGGACTCTGCCTTCCTGCATGGAAAGGGACTCCATGGCGAGGCTTCTCTTCCCTCACAACGGTTGGTGCTTCATTCTTCTTGCGCAAAGGGGCTTTTGCGCATGCTCTGTAAGGCATTTTTCTTTTTGAGGAGTTTTAAGTGATTTCCCCTTCATTTTTATGGGTTTTTTGTTTGAAATACACAGATCAGATTAGAATGTGTTTTGCTGCCAAATTTGGTGTCATTCTGTCCAGTGGTTTTTGAGTTCTGTTAATCCGACAAACGAACATTACATTTTTATTTATATAGATAAATGAGATGTGGCTGTTTCCTCCTGCAATAGCCTTCTTGGCTCGTATTTACTGACAGCTCACAGCACTGTATTATCATGTTGTCAAAGGCTTTAATCAATGGGTTGCTATGAGTTTTCCGGGCTGGATGGCCATGTTCCAGAAGCATTCTCTCCTGACATTTCACCCACATCTCTATGGCAGGCATCCTCAGAGGTTGTGAGATCTGTTGGAAACTTGGAAAGTGGAGTTTATATATCTGTGGAATAATGTCCAGGGTGAAGAGAAAGAACTCTTGTGTGTTTGAAGCAAGTGTGAATGTTGCAATTGGCCACCTTGATGAGCATTGCATGGCCTTGCAGCTTGAAAGCCTGGCTGATTGCTGCCTAGGGGAATCCTTTGTTTGGAAGTGCTAGCTGGCCCTGATTGATTCTTGTTGAGATTAACTTAACAATTCAGCAGCAGATCAGTTGCACAACTTCAGGGCTTTCCAGTAGCTTCTTCCTGCACAGTATTTTCAGTCAACTGCTCCCACAGCCTGCAATCACTCTGGAACTTTTTACATACACTTGAGCACATGCCCGGCCATTGTCAGTTTTACCATTGTCTTTCCCCCAGTCTAGATGATACTACAAACTTACCACAGCATATAGTTATATCTTGTCTTAGCAGACAGGTTCTTTTAATTACCTATAGCCTTCGACGAACAACATCCCAGCACAAGGAGAGATATACACTGTACATGACTTCCTTATATACAATTCTATACAATTACACATAGCAATCTCTGATTGGTTCCCAACTCATTAACTTAACTCAGACCCAGGATGACATCATTCACAATCACCTGGACTAGGCCAGAACACATTCCCCAAATGATTCCCTATATACAGTTAATGCATGACTCAGCATTTCCAATAGAAGCCTATTAGCAGTGCATGACTCAGCTATATTACATTACAACACATTGTAAAACCTGACAATTCTTGTCTGGAATTCCCCTGCTTTTTGAGTGTTGCT